GAAACGGAGCGGGAGTGAGAAGAAAAGTGCTCGAGGAAAAGGCGTTTTAGAACCGTAGGAGGGGTAAAAGCTTTAGTGATACGGGTCAAGGAAGTACAAAACCGCGGAAGAGGGACCCTCCACGGGGGCAAAGAAGGAACAACACGAGGAGAAACATCAGAAATACGAACGGAGAGAGAATCCTGTAGGCGAGATAACCAGACAGAAAGAGGGAGGTGGTGAAGAGGAACAGGAACCGCAGGAGGGGTAAAAGTTAAAGCACGACAGAGGCAAGAGGAAGGATGTTGCAAGGACCGCGCAAGATAGCGAAGACAGTAGCGATCACGGCGGTCCTGGAGAGACAGGAAGCCAGTGTCAACATATAAGCTAAGGATGGGAGTCGAACGAAAGGCACCAGAACTGAGGCGCAACCCAGTATGGTGCAAAGCATCAAGACGGCGAAGAGTAGAAGGAGAAGCAGACGAGTAAGCAGGGCAACCATAATCGAGCTTAGACAGGACGAGAGAGGAATGTAAAGCAAGGAGAGTGCGCCTATCTGCCCCCCAAGAAGTATGGGACAAGACCCGAAGGAGGGTAAGGGCCTTAGAGCACTCAACACGGAGGTAAGAGATATGGGGAGACCAAGACAAACGAGTGTCAAGGAATAACCCCAAAAGCTTCGCGGAATCTTTGTATTCAAGGGGATGACCATAAAGTGACAAAGAGGGACGAAGAACAACCCGTTTCCGCGTAAAAGTCATGGCACAAGTCTTAGAAGTAGAGAACTTGAAGCCATGACCTGTGGCCCAAGACGACACGGCATCAATTGCAAGTTGAAGCCGGCGTTGAAGGAGAGGCGAATCATCACCCTGACAACAAAGGGTAAGATCATCGACATAGAGAGCAGAGAAGACACCAGAAGGAAGAGAGGAAAGAAGACCATTGAGGGCAACCAGAAAAAGAGTAGTGCTCAGAACACTACCCTGGGGCACACCTTCGTATTGCTGAAAAGAGGGAGAGAGAGTGGTACCAAGGCGCACCCGAAAGGAACGACGAGAGAGGAAGCTGCGGAGAAAGAGAGGGAGATGACCACGAAGGCCAAAAGAATGAAGTTGAGATAGGATATGATAACGCCAAGTGGTGTCGTAAGCCTTTTCTAGGTCAAAAAGGACGGCAACAACGGAGGTCTTCGCAGCAAAAGCAGTACGAATATAGACCTCCAAGTTCACCAGGACATCTGTCGTGCTGCGGCACTTGCGGAAACCAAATTGAGAAGGGGAGAGGAGGTGATGGTGTTCCAGGAACCACATCAGATGAACGTTAACCATACGTTCAAAGAGTTTGCAGACACAACTTGTGAGAGCAACAGGGCGAAAGTCCTTAGGGGAAGTACCCAGAGACCCCGGTTTGCGAACAGGGAGGACAACGGCATCGAGCCAGTCCTCAGGGACTGACGACGACTCCCAGATCAGATTATACAGACTCAGTAAATACTGAGACGTGCTCGGAGGGAGATGGCGAAGCATGTCATAATGAATACCATCGGAGCCCGCCGCCGTAGAACCGCAGAGGGCCAGGGCAGAACGAAGTTCAGAGAGAGAGAGAAGGGATCATTATAGGGAAGCTGAAGATGAGTGCAGAAATCTAAAGGACGAGACTCAAGGACAGGTTTACGAAGAAGGAAAGATTGGAGAAGATGAAGACCAGAGCTAACAGAAGTGGGAACCCAGTTCGGAAGCGACCTGCAACGGGTCCGCCACAAGAGTATCATGGAGGTGAAGGACCGGTGAAACATCGGGAACGAACTTACCCGCTATCTTGCGGATACGCTTCCAGATCTGGGCCAGAGGGGTCTCGGACGTAATTGTTGAGACATAAGATGCCCAACATTCACGTTTAGCCGTACGGATGGCCCTACGGGCCACCGCACTCGCTTTCCGAAAGAAAAGAAAAGAATCGGTCGTCTGCCTACGGCGGTGCCTCTTCCAGGCTGCACGCTTACAGCGGACAGCCCGAGCACAGTCCGCATTCCACCAGGGGACAATATTCTCAAACCCAGAGAAATATGGTAAACGTAACACATTCTTTGGGCGAATTCTTTCACTGCATACATTATTATAATATGTACGGCGTGCTTTGTTACAGCAAACTTCCAAAAAACTCAGTGGGTAACAAAGCTTGAGACCAATCGAATCAATATTCTTAAACTCTTCGTCTAAGAATTCTGGACTCACAACTCGAAGAGCTCTTAGATACATTGAAGAAAAAATTGACTTTTTCACATTGTATCTATGCCCTGAAAAATAATGAACATAAGATAAATTATTCGTAGGTTTTCTGTAGACACTAAACTTATAACAGAAACATAATTGAATCTGCTTTGATACAGATAACAAAAGAAAGTAATTTGAACATTAGCAGTGGTATATATAACTTAGATCCATTTTTGATAGATCAATTAAAGGGTGATTTAAGTAGGATCATTGGAACACATTTGTCTCACTAATTCATTGTAAATATTTACTATCTTATGCTATTATAATCTATGTGTGGGCCTGTTGGTGGGTATGGATAGGAGCTACATCGTATGGGCCAATAGGCCTTCAGCATTTCTTGTGCGGCTCATATTTGTGTCCACCTAATTCCCATTCATTTGTTATTGTACCTCACCTCACTCCACCATTCTCTCCTGCTTATTTATGTCCAATACTTGACCTGTAAAATCACTCCTTCTGAAGATGTATTAATATACAAAAGTACTTAAGGAAATTTCTGTTTCAATTTTCCTCCAAGGTCTGACGCTGTCACATTTTTAATCATGTGTTTATTTACGTGATGTACACACACACACACTATTTGAATTATTATTAATATATTATATTAACTTAACACTTTCGCGCTCTCGGCGCTCAAAAAAAATCAATACCCCAGATGCTTTCGGCTCTTCGCGCGCCTACGCGGTAAGACCGAAAAAGTGTACACTCTTTTGACTGTCCTGACAATAATTGAAGGCGCACGTATTTAAATTTGGTATCACTGTGTTCGCAATGAAATTGTCTATAAGAGCATACCTATAAAATGCCGCCCAAGCATAAGGAGTATCAACACCAAATAAAAAACTATGCAGATCACTCGCCGAGAGCGCCAAACAGCAACAAAATGTTTCCACTCTCTTAATGGTTGCGAAGCCTACAGTTGTCCTACATCGCTAATTTTGGTATCATTGGAATCGCAATAAAATTCTCTACACGGACATATGCATATGAATGTTTAATATAGGTAATTGCCCACCCACAAGAGTGTGTGAAGTGGAGAGTAGTTAGCCGCGAGCGCACTGGCGAAAACACGGGGGAAATCATGCTTGGAAAGTTTATACATTTATACGTTTCCTGACCCTACTTTTCTATGTACGTATTTCTTTTTTATACCAATGTGTTCGCAATAAAATTTTCTATAAGATGAAATGCATAACATTTGTACAAAGCATGTGTAAGAGAAGCGCCAAATATAGAACCACGTCGCTTAGTATGCGTTCGCGGCAGAAACGAACGCATTGTTTTCGTTCGTTTGATGTTTATCATGTTTATACTTGTTGAAACATTTTATACTTTGTATGACAGTGATCGCAGTAAAATTCCCTACACAGACATATACATAACACATACAAATATTTCCCACGTGTTGGATATATCAACGGCTAAAGGGAACCCACTGCCACACGGCTGCCACACCTGCCACACCGCCAAACATACTTTGTGTTTTTTTTTTTTACTCATAGAAGTTTATGTGATATAATATTCATTCTGGTACCAAAAAATTCGCAAATAAATTCTCTACAAAACGTATATAATATAACTTCTTATACATGATAAAAAATTCCAAATAGGTGTACTTACCCTGTCCATGTTGATTGAAGATCAACAGTTGAGCATTTTTTCTTCACGCCACCATCTTCAGGCTTCTGATCCTGAAGTTGCTCATCTGATGTTTCTTAGGTGGAGTGAAGCTGTTGCCGGTGGTTATTTTTTCTCCACCCAAAATATCTTTGTGTAGCAAGGCGCAGCGCGCAGTGCCACATCACAAGTTTTACATCCATATATCACGTCCCTCCTTTTGCCAGACTTGTAACAAACACGGCATCTTCTTTTTTTAGCCAAGTGCACGAGTTCATGCGTCAACTTGTAGTTGAGACGTTGTTCTGAATCTATAATTCTTGTATTTCTTGGATGCACTGGAGGAATATTGTCTTCTACAGGAACCACCAAACTTATAGTAGAATCTTCTATGAAATCAGAAACATCAAGTGGTTCTATGTCCTCAATGTCCATTTCAGAATTTGTGGTTGATGAGTGGGCTTGAGGTGTTGAGGTGAACAGAGGACGCCTCGCACCTGATGTGCCAGGTGTTGAAACTGCCGCGTCAGCAGGAGGAGCTGCGCTGGCATCTATGTCGGGAACATGTGGTATACTTGTTGTTGTTGGCCATTCCTCGCTGTTCCACGCCAATAAGGCTTTTATTCCTACTGCGTGAAACTCTAATAGTGTTAGTTTTTTTGTATCTGTTGAGTAGTGGTTATACAATGCGTATGCATTGTGCATGGCCATTTGCAGAAAATAGAAAGTGATCTTCTTGGTCCATTTGTGGGTTTTTCTTGCAAACTCATAATATTTGACCATTTGATCAAAATGATCAACACCTTTCATGAACTTATTGTAATCCACTATGGCCTTGGGTTTGTTCATTTTCACAATTTCTACTCCAGTTCTCCCGTCACGTTTACGAACGCGTTTCCTGCGCTGTGCTTGAGTAGTGTCGGCATTGTGGATATTGGTGATGACAGAGACGGGGCGCTTGTCCTTCCAAACTATAACAAAGGTGTTATCCTTACGCATGTATAGGGTCGTGTCGGTTGCCATTTTACCCTTTACCACTTGTTGCAGATCCGTGGGGGCGCCACGTTGGAGTCTAAGTGTGCCACATGTGTAAACACCCACTTCACGTAATTGTTCTGTTAGGCTTACCGAGTTATAGTAGTTATCCATATACAGATGATAACCCTTGTTGACTAGGGGCGCCATCAACCCCATCACGGTTTCCACTGTCGTTTTTCCAATTCCACAATACACATCAAATTTATATATGTAGCCTGATGTCCCTTCGGCCAACATATAAAATTTTACACCATATTTATCAGGCTTGTTGGGATTGTAGACCTTGAAAGAGAGGCGGCCGCGCCATGCCATTGTACCCTCATCGAGACTCAATTCTTTTTTGGGGATATATACAGATGCAAATTTTTCTGAAAAATAGTCCATTAGTGGTCTCACTTTTATCAGTCGGTCACTATTATTCACTGGAACGCCTTTTTTGTTATACATGTGGAAGAACTTAGAAATGTGTTGGAACCGAGCAGACGACATAAACAAGTTGAAGAAGCGACAATGCCACATCTGATTCGTCTGCCAGTACATCCTCATTGTAGGCATCTTCACTATGCCCATCAGTATGCACAGGGCCAAATATCGGGCCATTTCTTTCACAGACACTGGTTTCCACGTGTTTCTTGCTGAGTCAGCCATGAGATGTATGATGTGTGTGGCATGCAAATTGGTTTCATACGCTAAGTATTCAACCACTGCTCTAGTGAAAAACAGTTGTAAAAACTGCAATGGAGTAGTAGATAGTGGAATTGTTAGGCCAGGGTTTGCAGAAAAGTCATCAACGATGGGAGGAGTATTGCTACGATTCCAGTCATCACCCAGCCTAGCCCTCTTTGGTACCGGACACGTGCGGTTTCCGCGTGGCGGGGCAGGGGCTTCTTCTTCACTCTCATCCTCACTCTCACTCGAAATATCATCATCAGTTGTGGAAACCTCATATAACACATCATTTTCAGGTTCGTCAGCCTCAAATTCATCATCAGAAGACCCTGAAAAGGCTTCAACAACGTCGGGAATCTTGGATGGAGTGAGCTTGACCCCACGATACAGATCGTGAATCATGGCGATCTCTTCTGCTTTCCTAGATTTCCTACCTTTCTTTTGCGTTCCACTGCTTGTTCCTGGTGCAGCATCCATGTTGAAGGTATTGAATGGGTTTTAGGTACACGAGAACGGAAACGGAATGGAAATAAATGCGTAAAACGGGTCACGTTTGCCGCGAGAGGGGAGCGCAGTGTGGGCACTTGGAGTGTCAACAAAACAATGGGCCGACCACGTGATCGGGTAGGCCGAGATGCCATGTGTTCGGTGAGGGAGAACGGGAATTTCATGGAGAAAAATCTGAGAGTATCCCCATCCATTTCGGTTAAAAAATGGAATTTATAGAAATATTTTTTCGATGGACGAGAAAAGTAGGCTGTTATGCGGAATCGTAAGAAAAAACGGTGACGAGTTATCTCTAATATAAAGCGCGAAAGTGTTAAGAACATATATTATTGCCTTAGTTGTATTAGTTTTGGTTAGGTTAAGGTAGGTTAGGTTAGGTTGGGTTGATTAGGTTCGGTCATATATCTATGTTAGTTTTAACTCAAATTTAAGAAAATTAACTCATACATAATGAAATAGATATCTTAATTATTTCATAAGAAAAAAAATAGAAAAATATATATATTCAGGAAAAACTTGGCTTATTAGGCAAATCAGGCCTTGCATAGTAGGCCAAATACTGTGTTCTGGCTACTAAGTACAACATATATATATATATATGTCGTACCTAGTAGCCAGAACGCACTTCTCAGCCAACTATGCAAGCCCCGATTTGCCTAATAAGCCAAGTTTTCCAGAATTAATATATTTTCTCTATTTTTTTTCTTATGAAATCAAAAAGCTACCCATTTCATTATGTATGAGGTAATTTTTTTTTATTGGAGTTAAAATTAACGTAGATATATGACCGAACCTAACCAACCCTACCTAACCTAACCTAGCCTATCTTTCTAGGTTAGGTTAGGTTAGGTAGCCGAAAAAGTTAGGTTAGGTAGTCGTAAAAACATTAATTCATGAAAACTTGGCTTATTAGGCAAATCGGGCCTTGCATAGTAGGCTGAGAAGTGCGTTCTGGCTACTAGGTACAACATATATATATATATATATATATATATATATATATATATATATATATATATATATATATATATATATATATATATATATAACAACAGAAATTCTTCCTCTATGAGAGAATTGAACCATGGTTAGCCAGGTGGCTGGCCAGTATTCTAACCGATACACCACAGTGGATCGTTAAAGAGGACCAAGAATCAGGGGGCTTTTCCATGAAACTCAGTCCCCCAACGACGTCAACTGATGGTGACAGATCAGACACACTTTCTTCCAACTCAATCATATTAACTAGAGAAAACTTGAGCTCATTTATACCACAAACTTGCAAGAACATGCAAGCTATTTTTAACAACATAACTCTTCCCCTGTGAGAGAATTAAATCATGGCTAGCCAGTATGCTAACCAATACATGACAGTGGATCATGAAAAATGACCAAAAATCAGGAGGCTGTTCCACGAAACTCAGTCCCGCAACGATGTCAACTAATGGTGACAGATCAGACACATGTTCTCCCAACTCAATCATGTTTACATATTCAACAATTTCGAAGTGGTGTAGACTGTGGGAAGAAATGCAAACAAATCCAAACATTTGTTGAAACGACTCACCCAGATTAAGCTGTAATAGGCCGTTTCCTTAACCTTTTTAATGACACTGTGATGACCCGAATGTCATCACAATGACCTGAATGTCATCACAGACAATGACCCGAGTTTAATGTGACTTGGGGCGCCCGAACGTCTGGCAGAGCCAACAGAAGGAGTCGGCATCGACCGTCCATTCCGTGGACAGGGGAATAAAACGAGACAGGCCATCGGCCATGTTGGACACTCCCCCGCACGTAAACTGCCAGGAGAGCCAAACCCCGAGAACTCAGTAGACGATCAGCCTAGGTGCCAAGGAGCCAAGGACCACATTGAAACCCCTCAGTTTAGGCAATGAACCACCAGGGAGCAATCCGAATGGAGCAGGATCGTCGATCCGTGGGCGACCCGAACACTCCGAAGCGCAAACCACACAGCAGCAAACTCCCGCACTGTGCTGTGGGCTCGACGGAAGGATGGACCCCACCGTCCCTGGCCAGCCTGGTGAATACTGATCACAAAGCCCCAGCCGAGAGACGACGAGTCCATGAACACATTGAGTGAGGCTGATTGGCGCTAAACCCCGAAAAACCCAAAGAGGAAGCCAGCGACGCAGCAGCCGACGTAAGGCTCCCAGGGGTCGAACCCAGCAATTGCAACAGAGGTGGTAGGGACATCCCGAAAGGAACTAGAACAGCCGATGAAGCCAAACCCGACCTGGCAGGTAGACCACCATCGCAAAGTTCAGGCTCATGCACAAACCCTCGTGCAACTGCCGGGTGACTCGGGAGCCTCCCAGAAACAGGCGCAAGTGGGACCGCAGCCGTAGGAGAGACTCTGGAGGAAGAGACAAGGAAGCGGTCCAAGAGCCCCACACAAGACCCAGCCATGTCCGAACCTGGAAGGGAGGCAGATGGGACTTCCTCCAGTTCACCAAGAACCTGAACCCGGCGAGCTGGGAAAGAACCAAATCCCTGGCTAGCAGACAACAGGACCGGCTGGGAGCCCAAACCAGCCAGTTGTTGAGGTAGGCCACCACCCGAACACCTAAGAGATGCAGACAGCCCACAACGACCCATGAAAGGCGTGTGAATACGCGAGGTGCAAGATTCAACCCGAACGGGAGACAAGGCTTGATGCCCCACAACAAAACTGAGCCAGTCCCTGAACCCTGGATGAATCAGGACGTGCCAATAAGCATCCCGGAGGTCCAGGGACACCATCCAAGAACCCGGCTCCAACAGGAGCCGAACCTGGGACAGCATAGTCATTCGAAAGGAGGGGCAATGAACCCAGGGGTTCAGATGGGACAAGTCCAGAATGAACCGCAGGTCTGCACAGTCCCGTTTCAGGATTGGGAACAGATGGAAAACCCACCTGAGGGACGTCGTCGTTTTGACAACGCCCAAGTGAACCCACTTCAAGACAACTCGACAGAGCACAGGAGAAGACGCCTGCCCCCGCCAGCCCCGAACCCTCAACAGAGAGAAGGGCCACCCAACGCCACCGGAGGCTGAAGGAAACGACCCAAGACGCCCACAAATTGTGAGACCAGGTGTGTGAGCGAACAGCGCAAGCCTCCCTCCTCCCCCCCATCGCCCCATCAATGGAGCGAACAGCGAAATGGCCGGCGCCCCTTACAAGACCCAGAACCTTGCACAGAGCGAATACCGCGCTGATCAGACGAAGGTGGGTCTGAAGATGGAGCCGAACCCGAAACAGGCACCTGTGGCCTACCACAACGAGCACAACCCATCTGGGAAGGCCCCCACCCCCACCCCGGGACACCTAGAGAACCTAGAGTGCCTTCTAGTGCTCGAAGGCACTAGAGAACCAACAAGTCAGACTTAGGACGGCAACTGGCCGAAGCAGCCTGAATATACTGCGCCACGGCTGAAGGTGCAAAAAGCAGAGGACAAAAAGGTGAAGACATCCTAAGAGCCAGGGCCCAGGCCGATTCCAGAGAGGAGGGAAGCACCGCCTGCCGACACACGAGCCGGGAAGCATAAAACAGGGAAACCGCATCCCGTAACATCGGCGTAAACAGCTTCACCAAGGCAGTCAACGAGCGAGCTGCCGAGCCCAAGGCACCGGACCCCGGAACGGCCCCATGCATCCCCACATCCTTCCCCAAGCCAGTCCGGAGACAGCTCCAGGAGGGAAAAAGAAACACAAGGCCGAAGCCAAGAGGCCCCCAGGCGCGCAAGTCCTCAGCCACCTGCGTAGCCGAGAGGGAACCTGCGCATGTCGCTGCACAACGCCAACATCCCGGGAAAGGGCAGGAGCAAACAGGCAGTCATTGAGGTACTCATGATTCCCCCCCCCCCCCCAGGAAAACCTGAACCACTGTCGAAGCCTCGCGCCACTCAAGCATGCGAGAACGACAGAAGGAATGCCAAGCCTTCAAGGCAAACACAGGACAGTCCGCCAGGGATGACTCCGGAACCTCGTACCGGACCCAGAAAGGAAAAGAAGTCCCAAACCTGAAAGACAACGGATCCCTCACCGAGACATAATTCAGGCCACGCAGGAGGTAAGCCGCTAGGGCCACCCATACCGCAGACAGTTGGATGCGAGAAGCCGAAAACCTCCGGAAAGAGGGAACCGACGCACCCGGGGGAACACGGAACCAAACCCGGGGAGGGGCAGACACCAAATCCAACTCATACGCAGAGGGGGAAAAAGAGAACCCCACTCCTTGTAACAATAAGTAGGTAATTATCAAAAGAAGGCACCAAACCGGGAAGGCTATGTAGCCCCATCAAATGCGCGGAATAATCAGAGGGTGCTAAATATCACCAAGGATGCCAATACAATAATAGAAACACATAAGGTGAATGATATCAAAAGTATCCGATTCACCAAGAATTCTATCGAGGGATAGAATAGCGACCGCGAGGGATGGTCAGAAAGCACGACACACGCTCATCCTGGAATTCAGGACATTCAACTGGCATATGCACAATGGTAGGAGAGAAAATGCAATTTGGACAATAAGGAGCTGGGTGGTGCTCCATTAAGTGACCGTGAGTTAAGCGAGTATGGCCAAGACGCAACCTTCCTAGAGCCATTTCCCACCGCCTGGTTATGGTGGCAGGAGGAAGGCCACGGGGACAGACAACGCTTAAGAGTACGCAATTTGTTACCAACAACAAAAGACCAACAATCTTGCCAACAGGCAAAGATGGAGGAATGAATAACCGTGTAAAAGTCAGAAAATGGAATACCTTTACGGGAAACGGGACAAGAGCGGATAGCCTCTCTAGTGGCAGCATTAACACGTTCATTTAAAGAAACACCAATATGGCTGGGAACCCAGCAAAACTCTACGGATTTAAATTTACTAGAGATAAGAAACAGCCAATGTTGAATCTCGACGACTACTGGATGGATAGGATTAAAGGAACCGAGAGCCATAAGGGCACTA